AAATCGAACATTAGGACAAAATTTTTGCTTAATTTATCGGTAAATGATAACTGATATGGATAATTAATGAATAAGTGAAAAGAACTAGCTGTGGCTTGCTTTATTTTTGTTAAAAAATGACTATTTATGGTGTATTTAACATTTTTTTCGTTAAACGTCGACCCACGTTTAAGAACGAAAATCGAACGAATCGAGTTGAAAATTTTTCGAGCAATTCTTTAAACAAAATTTTTCCAACTGGATTCGTTCGATTTTCATTCCTCTACGTGGGTCGACCTTAAACGGAAAAACGTAAAAAACACCATAAATAATAACTTTTTGGCAGAAATAATGCAAGCCAGAGCTAGTTCTTATCATTTGTTCATTAATTATTGATATCAGTTGTCATTTACCGATAAATTAAGCAAAAATTTTGTCCTAATGTTCGATTTCGGTTCCCAAAAATAACCCATGTATAGCTACCTGTCGATCGTTTTTGGGAACCGAAATCGAACTTCTGCAAATTATTTTTGCTGTATTCATCGATAAATGATAACTGATGATATAGATTAACCAATAAATGATATAAGGAGCTCCCGATATCTTTATTTTTGCTAAAAAATTATTATTTATGGAGTATTTTACGTTTTTTCGTTTAAAGTCGACCGACGTATAGGAACGAAAATCGAATTTTTGCAGAGAAGGTTTGCTTAATTTATCAATTAATCCGCATTTAATAATAAAGATTAAATACGCTCTCATTAGCTTTATTATCGTTTCTTTAATGAAGTAACGACATTTACATGTTAATTGTTAAAAACAATTTTGGTGAAGGCGCCAACAGAAATCAAATTCTAGCGAAACTTTGAAAATCGGAAATTTGTATTAGGAGAGCATAAGATGCTTGGGAAATCTGATAATTTGCCGCGTAAATTTTAGTGTTATTATTATTGCCACTTAAACTTTAGTAGCTACTTGATAGACATCTGTAATATAGTTGAAACCTGTAAACTAGATCTAGATCAATATCTAACTACCGACCGTGAGATGTCGCTCAGCCACTTGAAATACAAAGGACATCCTATAATTCTTTAACTGTAATATAAGGGATAATCGAAAAGTTTTAACAGAAAATTCTCAAAATTAATTTACTGTTAATTTTCCGTATTAATAGGTCGATTTTGGCTGTTGTTTATTTAAATGTTGTTGTTTGAGGTTGCTCATCTTCAAATTTAAACTTAAAAAAACCCATTTAACAGAAATGAGTATATATTTCACTCGAAATAAATAATTTTATATGTTAAAGGAGCCAGCAATGCAAATATGAATCTATATAAACCCAGAGGCTTATAATGTAGTAAGGATATTGGTGAACATCCAATACTTCCTAGAGGGCATGATCAATAAAAAGGATATTTACAATGAAACTGTTTCAGTACACCGAAATTCAATCATTCAAGACATTCAGCCGTCTATACGACTGGGTAGTGTTGGATTCATACATATAAAACAAACGACAGCGGAATTAGATTGTTGTTTATTGAATTAAGTCAAAAAATCACACTTATATGGCCAAGCAAATCTGTACCCTAAAATTGTAATTTGATTATAACAAATATGTTGCAATCTTCGCCAATATCCGTTTAATTATAAGAAAAATCTCTTAAAGATCTAAAGTAGCATTTAGTGAACAGAAACATTGCAATTGTAATTGAATTAATAATTATTTACTACCAAGAATGAGTTAATAACTTGTAACTTGAATATAACAAACAAAACTAGATTATATGAGGAAAGAGTTATTTGAATTTAGTTTTCAAGCTGTCAAAAGGTAGATCCATCTCTATTAGCTTCGTTAGACAAAGACAACTTCTGTGATTTCCTGTACAGGACATCCTGAAACATACGTGATAATCCTTTATTATTGTAAATAAATTAAATTAGTAAAAAAATAAATATTTAAAGAATTTACAGTTACTATCTCAAATGACTAACTTTAAAAAAAAAGAATAAAATTTAAGAATAATTAAAAAATCACTGCTTTTATCTATATAAAATTTCGGTAGTATCTACTTAATACTTTTCCTAAAAAAGTATTTATTCAAAGATTCTACGATTGAC